AATCCGGGATGCCAATTTATTTGGTGTCTCTGCGAGGTTTTCAAAGAAACCTTGTACTCTAGGAACCACAAAGGGGACGTCCCGAGGTGTACCAGGGCGTCTAGATTCGATGCAATCGGCCCCGACTAGTGGTGCTGTCAAGGCTGATCTTCCCTATCGGCTTCCTACGGTTTGCCAAGCTTCGCCTTGGTTTGTTGTGATTTTCGTACCAGTGACAAATCTGCCTGGGTCCTGAGTTCTATTTTCACGGCCGTATTTTTTGCTGCAACTCGAACTGAGCAACTCTGGTCCCATGTTTTGCGTCCCTTGCAACAATTGCTGCAGCGCACATCTTGTTTTCTCCCACAATTGCGCGTGTTATGCTCTCCTGCACAGTGACCACATTCTGACTCCGCGGCACACATTTTCGCAATGTGTCCGTACTTTCGGCAGTTGATACATTGCAATATACGGAGCCCTGTCCTAAATATTTCGGTTGCCTTGAGTTCGTATTGCCACATAAGTCCCTTTATTATTGCCGTGTCTACTTATTCGGCCTATGCAATCTACAGGATTATTGACCATGCTTTTTTCCCATGTTGTTGATTTTTCTTTAGCCATGCGGCTCTTTGGATAACTATTCCTTGGATGTACACTTCATTGGCGTCTTGGAGCTGTTTGAAGTGCTCCGGATTTTCTGGCTCAAAGAAGAGCGGCATGTCATTAACGAGAGCTTAGTGTATGGGACCGGCGACTTAAGCTGAAGGCGCGAGCATTGTGTTCCAGTCCTTGTGTTGTTCCATCAACTCCTTTGTACCTTCTCCTGCAAAGTTGACTTTGACTTGGCCGTTTGTCATTTGTCTCGCTCCGACTATCTGTTTAACGCCTATCTTAACCAATTCCTCGCTCGAGAGTTTGGTTATCTCCTTCTTTTCCTCCTAGTCTTGGATACAGATCGTGGTTCCATAGGACTCTCCCCTGGTTGCAATTTTTGCCCAGAAGCTGCCCTGGGCTGACATAGGTACTTGGTTCTGCGCGATAGTGGCTTTAATGCCTTTGATTTCCTGTAATATCTTAGTCATTGCAGAATTTTCACCACTGTGGCTTGTCTGCGTGGGATTATGAGGGGAGACTTTCGCTTTCTGAAAGCTTTCGATAAACTGGAGAGCTCTTCGCTTTTCGTTGCGTCCTTGAATCTTTTCAGGGACGCGTTCGTGTCTTGCGGCGCCTTTGTCGCGACGCTACCGCCTCTAGAACCCGCGCAAGGCGTTTCACCATTAATTCCTCTCTTAGGAATACTCGTCATCATGATCACAACATGCTGTAAAATTTTGAGGTAAAAATCTATGGGGTCTACTTTTCGGAATGTGTGTGTTTTTCTATTTATGTCATTATGAACAAAGTTACTCATGTTCATTAGTGTGGATCCGATGGACTCTAAAATTCCTCGTAATCACCTTGACTTCGCTTTTGAATCCTTCAAAATATTTCTGATCATCAGAAGTAGACCCATTTGAAGAGATTTGAAAGATTTTGGCCGCTGGAGACTTGTTAAAGTTTTATGTAGATCTATGTTTGTTTTTTTTCGCATGTTACTCTCCTAGTCGCCCGCCGTGTCCGGAGAAATATTTAATCGATTCATATCTAGCATGTCAAGCGTATTTGATGCCTTCTAGGCTATGCAAGTTTTATTTCCGAGAATAGTCATACTTCCATGCATGCCTTTCGCAGAATTTTCCTCAGCAACTGACGTACCCTTTCCAGCGCTTTGCGCTTTGACCCGTTCCCACTAATAACTATCCATTGGAACAGCCACATAAGGTATATATTTACCTTATCTAAGTGTCTATACCCGAATTCTAATATAAGAGGATGACAGGCCTTCATCCCGTTTGAAGGTTGTCAATCTCTGAAATTCCCTGTTATTGGTGATGGAATCCGCTTCATATCTAGTCCCTGTAGTCCAGGTCAATTCCTATGCGTTCCTGCTGTACTATCTGTATCTATCGATGATGTCAGACAGGAGGAAAATTTTCATCATTTCCGTAAAGTGACCATCGACTCAGTGTAACTAATAAGAAGGTTCACAGGCTGATGAATAAGCTGACTGGCGTATGGGCTTTTATTCTGGGTACGTCAAGACGCTGGTTAAGATTTGTGGCTTGGGCCATGATTGTTTTATCTCCGTTATTTTTTGAAATTTAAATTGGTCTATTTTAACTAGTATAGCTTATGTAAACACCAGGAAAATGTATAGCTGGTTTGAAGAGATAGTCATGATGTTGATGCTTGCCTTGTGGTAGCGTTGCATAAGGAATCATTTGACGCTGCTCTGATCACACCCAAGGTTGGGAAAGGGTGGCAAATAGTATGATCTGGAATAACTATATCTTTGGCGATAAGAATTAAGAAGTAGCTGGTCGGAGAAGATAAGAAACCGAGATTTGATAATGGGCTCAAGGACCTGGGCCGTGGCGGCACGAATAATTATGCCTAGTAAACTTAATAAGGTTCTTACAAGCAGACAATACCGCAGCAAGTCTTTAACTGCGTAGTTGGGATTCCCGCGCGATCTGGGGTTATGCTAGAGGAATTTCTGATATAGCGCATGTCTCTGAACTGCGCTCCGAGGCACTAACTTCTCAATTTAAAGAGAGAGAGATAAGTTTATTGTACTACTCGATTCATAGACAATCTAGCACATTGGGCTCCTTTCTGGCCTAGACCACCCCTTGTACAGTGCTCCTTGCCTCTCATATTTCTTGAAAGATCATTGATATATTCCCCTTGATGAATAGCCATTCAGCTCAGTGTTTATCCATGGAATTCGGCCACCTTTTCCACGGAACCTTCTACCCAAAAAAAATAAAAATGGTAGCAATGGAAACTGCGTGCGCGGGAAAAAGTCTCAAAAAACCTGCAGCCCCAGCCAGGCGAGGCCTAGACACCGGGACCACATGAAGTGCGCATATTCATCTATATCTCCCTTCTTTGTAACAGTCGAGGCCGACTTGATCCAATCCACCATCTCCGTATCGGGTGCTGGGTACGCTCCGGAAACTCATCGGATGGCTTTTCCTCCATGATAAAGGGTTGGTGATAAGAAGGGCTCCGACCCGACCATATGATCTAATCGTAGTTAGCTTCATGATAGTGGTGATAGGGGAATGTGTTGAGAGATGAAGACGATACAGACCGCGAAAGCGATTGGGAATCCTCATAGAAGTGAGGACTTTGTTACTCAATCTCGGCCCTGCAGACTCCACAGTGAGAGCTGGAGGTTCGTAGGGGTCACCACTGACAGGTGTCGAGAATAGTCCCCTCTAATTTAGAGAAATTGACTGATAAAACGAAATTTTCAACAACTATTTACAAAATACGTGAGGTCACTTGTGGTCATCTTCCCAAAGTTGATTGTTACTTACACATCTATCAATAGTTGGAGAGAATCGAGCCAGGCAGCTAAGGATGGAGACTTATCTTCTTTGCCCTATGCCAGGCAGTTGATGGGGGTTGTTACTGTGAAATGGGAATAGCCGAAATTTATTGAAGAATTAAGGGGGTCAAGGATGGCTGTGATGCTGTCCAACCCACAGCTCTCCCGTCAATACCGTGAGATCGCTGAAAATTTTACGCTTCCTGCTACCACCAGCACGACTACTACCCTCCAGCGCAATACTCAACGCAATAAACCGCTAATATATGAGATTCGGATCTGTGCATAAAGTGATTAGCTAGGTGAGTCGAGTAGATCAAAATCCATGGACGGCTAGAATCAGACCCACCTTTAGCTTGGCATCATAGAGTGATAACTCTGGCGCTTGAACTCCTTCGATCGGCTGGCTGAAGAGCTATCTGCAATGATAGGGAAGTTACATTAGGACAGTGTTACCGTGCCGAGAGACTGAAGCCACGTGAGGTGTAGCGGCTTGAACTCTCAAATTTTCTCCCGAGCTCATGGGACAGTCGCATCCCGTCCGGCATTAGCCATTTACCCGGCTGCAGACCTTGTATCTATGATGATATATTATCCAGCTTTTCTGCGTAGTCAGGGGTACCATGAGCACAGCATACATGCCGCATTCATATTTTTCTTGGCTAGTATCACTTGCTACTCTATTATTCATTTGCTACGTACGGACAGGGTAGGAGCTGCATGGATCGAAGAAATAACTATTTTTGCCCTCCCAGAACAACTGGAGCCGCCGTGGAGACGAAAATTCGTGTCTTTTTGAGAAATGACTGGGCATAAAACTATGCGCTGTGGGCACCAACCGTCATAATTTAGGCAAGTGGCAGTGGGTAAAGAGCTGCATTGTGTACATGTATGTCTCACCCCCCGTTTCAAGTTGGCGCTACTAGAACAGGTCTGAATTGAGCGGGAAGTTCCGCATGTTTTTCATCTCAGGTAGTCGATCAACCAAAACTATCTGTTCGTCTAATCTACTTTGACGTTATCTGACCACATAGTTGGCGCAGTGCCAACAAGGCTTGAATTCAGCTCCGCTACGCCCCCTCTTATCAAAATATGCCTGTCCTCGTTCAAGTTACGGAAACAAATGATTAAACAGGGTTGTAGTCTTCACCACCTGGAATGATGATTTTCATGCTTGCTACAGTGGCAACTGAAGTAGAAACCGTGGCCGGGTCTACTTAGTAATACACGAGCATAACCCATTCGTCGACACCTAAAATCTCAGACACCCCTTTAACCAGTCTTTCCACTTATAAATTACACCCTAAATTATCGTGTCGTAGTGACAATTTTCTTTCAAAGTTTGTGTCTTTGTGCCTGTAATGTTTGTAGTCATTCGACATATGCTTGTGTGATACTTTATCACTTTAGTCGCTCTCTAGACCTGTCCGTAAACAGCGTTACTCCTCGTTATCGGGGTATGGTCCGGATCTCGTGTTTCCAACATCTTTCGCAACTCTAGACCAGTGCATCGTGATAGTGACAGTCGCTGTAGTACTTTGGGAAGTCTTCCACTTAATCTGTGAATAGCCTACCTGACATTTTCCTACCGAGCTTCGCCAATCTGATCAAATTTATCGTTGACTGTGCCACCTGTGTTGGTACTTGAGCGAACAGATAAACGAGATTCTCGAAATAGGCTACCCGTTAACTTTCGAAAAGGAGTCACATGGTTCCCTGATTTATCAACCTGTACGATATTGGGCATCGCCACCAAGGGGGTAGTGGCTTCGTGATATTTGGGCACTTCCGGCTTCGAGGCAGCAATATGGCTTTCATATCCCTTTGGCTTACCAGAACTTGACGTCGGATCTTTGTCCGTAAGCTCAATGTGTGAAGTAATGTAAATAGAACTCAGCTGTGGAGCCCGAGTGGACACCCAAGGCAGAGACCCAACTCGACCGGATGTGTGGTTGCTAATGATGCTCCGCACCTTTGATATAAATCCTCTTTTTGAATTACTTCGATCTGACACATATGAGTGGCTCGGATCGCTATCTTGCTTCTGATCATTGATGGTGGTAACATTTTTGTTGCTGCGACTGAACAGAAGCCGGATAGCTGGAAAACAAACACAGATTATAGAAAGGCATAACTCAATCTGAGATAGAACAACAAGGCAAAAGTTATCCCAGATCTGGTCAAAGGTTTCGTTGTATCGTACCAAGAATTTGAGTCGTACTATGCTTGCTACGCATGCGCTATTTCAATTAGTACAGATATTAATTTCACACTGGAGAGCCCTACATTACTCCCACGGCGAGAATCAAAGTAATTCCAATCTTCCGAGATGTTTTCAACTTTAGCTGCCATATCAGTGGGATAGGAAGAAAGAGGAACACAATATCTTCCACGATACTGCAGGCTGCACCAACCACGCCGACCGGACGAGTATTTATGCATTTTCCAGGGAGAGCATGATTCCAAAAGCGTTTTATTGGTTTGCATGCGTTCACAATGACGACACTGAAAGCTACAAAGTGTACGAACATGAAGACTATTAGACAAAATAGTATCTTGCGAAACCAGACCTGGGGGAATATTCGGAAGTAAAGAAGGAGCACAGAGACTTTGGTCATTGTTTGTACGACGATATATAGAAGCTCCCATGACCATTCAAACTTTTGAAGTTAGGCTATTATTCATTCTCGAAGGAAGAGTTTGTGAATACTCACGAGCAAGAGACCGCGCCAGTGTGTGGTTTCTGCATTCCAGATATGCAGCCCGAATCCGTAAGACGCACCCCACAAGGTTAAGCATTGGAATGCGGCGAAAAATATCTGGGCTGATTAGAAATTTTCCGGCTCATAGCCTTGAATAACACTTACAGTAGAAATTATGAGGAATCCATCATCCCACCAGAATTTTTTGGCAACCTGATAATTGGAATAGCATCGTAATATTACAAATAATATGGCAAAAAATGTGGAGATGGAAGTCGAGGTGTAAATCTGGGGTCGGCGCGTCTCTCGCGGCTGACCTGTGCAAATAGTTTTGAGTAAAGCCTCAGATTCTGTTGATATTAGAAGGTGACTTGATGCAAATTGGTCAAGTGGTGGAATGCGCACCAATTAAACGAACAAATGGGCACTGCTTTTTGGTACAAGAAGAGATTTGAGCCTGAAATTCGGTTTTGATACAGAAACAGTCACTGAATTCGGTGAGGTTGCCGAGATTGCAATTCATAGCTCCGAGCACAGGCATTACACAGTCTAGCTGAACTAATTGTCAGCATCGCTCATTCTATCGAGGCGGCCAATTTCCGTAGATGTACATACACAGCAATGGGGCAGGTGCGAGATTGCATCCGAAATCTCGGCTGAAGTGCTCTTTCGAGCAGCCACTAATGACGAGGCGAGGAGCAGACATAGGGACAAGGTTTGACGGAGTAATCGCATGGTGTTTTGGATGGGAGCTTGGCCGTGAGGAATGTGGAAAACGGGCGATAGTTAAGAGCACGACAGAGCATGGGAGCGTCGTGGACGGCGGGAGTAGGAGATTGCGGGATATGAGCCGCACGTCAGATGATTGAGGGTCGATCCCGTCTAGCTGGACGATAGAGGAGCAGGCTTTATTGGCCAGATGGTCGGCCATAACTGCTGTATCAGACTGATCTGCTCGACATACTGCAGCTCGGACGGATGAGCGGGTTTTGTCCTGGATAAGGTAGCATGAGTCTCAGCACGGGCCAGGTCGAGGGGGGGCAAGAGTGGCAGTCGAAGGCTCATATTAGGGGGCCAATCATGAGATGCATGATCTCACTGAAGCTTGCCCCTGTCGTGAAGCCCCGGTCGGGGTTCCCTCGCCGTGAGGTGGGGCCCTTGTAGGATCGGACGACTATGTTGACCAGTGGGCAACGTGATCCGAGTTGAATTATGGTAAACATCTTCCGCAGGGGCCCTGAGCAACTGCAAATCTCCATCATCGACGGCCGCGGCTTTAAAACCAGCCAGCCCTGCCTCTGCTGGAAGCACACTGCATTCCCTGTCGGCCAGCTTGCACTTGATGTCCGACCACCACCACCACCCGACCCGACACTTGGAGACTCGCGGAATGAAACAGCGAGCGTTAGCCCAGCGCCCATACTCCCGCTCCCTGACCAGGACTCGGGGCACAGCGAGAGACGAGCTCTCCTGACTACTCAAGGAGATGCACGGGTGTTGGCTTTGGGCCTTCCGTGGACTCTAGTCCATCTGCTCAAGGGTGCGCATATCCCCGCGTTCTGTTCGCAATCGGCGTAGCCTGAGCTTGCGAGGCCGCAACGGTGAGATTTATGAGTCCTGTCTCGGTCACGAGTGCCACCAGCTCTTCTGGACGGACCGTTGACACTTACTTAAATGAACGAATAGCAACCGGCCTGCTCGTGCACGGGAAGTGCTATATCGCTTATATAGAATTTTAAACGATATTATCAGTGAGTTGCTTCGCTTGTCATCATCGTACGTGATCACGGGATGGATAGATGGAAATCTATAGTGTTCTGATCCATATTGAGACGGTAGCATGGCTGGGCGACTATTCTTGTTTTAATTATTTAATATGTATCTAGCAATTTAGCTATGACATATGATTGGTGCTATTTATACATTTTAGATGGCTTTTTTGTCGTAAGGAACACTTATGCTCCGTATTTCATTTGCAAATACCACAATGAGGTATGTTTACTCACACAAACAGTCGACCATCATCCGTAAATACTCACTAAAGAGAAGATTAAAAACCCTTGATTATCCAAGCATGTCTTCGTCCATGTAAATTTTCACCGCGAGAGATGTGGTTGTGTTATGCTGGATTCGAACAAGCGATCTCCTGTATTGAGCTGGATATGTGTCATGGCCATCCTGGCTGAGCGACTGGTCGAGTTATTAAGCCAACTCTCCGGGCAGAACTGCTGATACCACTCAACCCCGAGGATGAAGCCGGAGACTTCGTTAACCAATTAGAGTTGACAAGACAGCTTGAACCCCAAGCTCGATTCTCCAACGTCTTGTCGTTGCGCATAAGCTTGAAAAACACACAGTGGACTTCCAACACCAACATATTCGTCTCCTCTCTAAATTCTGCGCATGTAAAACGTAACCTCGGCCGGTGAGATGCCGGGTATTTACCCGGATATAGTTACAGGCTAGGGCATACTCGTTCCCATGGTCAGCTCTCGATTCAACTAATTTGTGTGATGCCAGGTTTCAAAAACCACATATTTCTAATTGACATCTATCACAGGACTCCGTTGTGATTGACAAGTGGACGGAGTTCCTGCCATCAGCAACTTTGACGTGTGCTACGAGCCCCGCAAGCGCGTAAACGGTGTCTCAGGGGAGCTATAGACGTCTTGTGTCATAATATTACAGCTTGCAGTAACCTGCATCCATGGGGATGTATTCTTCCCGCCTTCTATTCTTTACCCATCGCTGATGTCGAGCAGTCCAGGTTAACATTCTATCTTCTTGCTCCTTCTTAGAATGGTGAGAATGCTTATCTCTAAAATTCCGATCTTCTCTCATTTTAGCCGAAATTGCCCATCATCATTCCATCGCTGTCCGTTACAGCCGACTGCAAGGTATGTCACGGACCTAGACGAACCAATCAAGAGAATGATTTCGCTTTGTCGACAAAAGCCTAGTAGAAGAGGTCTCTTTCCGATGTCACAAAGATGATACTGCCGTGTAAGGTGTACATAGTGTACAGCGAGCCCGCCTTGGTTGCGATTCCCTTTGCCGTCACCGACCGATACCTATGATCAACATTGTCTCGGTATCACCAACATGGATGCTCGGCACAAGCGGTAAAGTGAGCTGCGAGCGCTAGGCTCAGGTGAGGGTTGGGGGATGTCCGACACGAAGATCTCGGCCATTAGAAATATTGACTGGGATTAGCTTGTTCGCACAGCAACGTCACTGTTATTACGGTAGTGGGTGTCTCGACAAATTTCGGTGGCACACTAAGATAAGCCTTCACTTCCCCTCCAAGACAATGTTGACGCAGTGACGAAGCCTTGCCGATTTGGCCATAGCATGCCTAGTCCCATCTTGATTGTAATTATCGATCGCGCGTATTTCAACTATACACACGCGCCCATTTTCTCGAAAATACAATTTCGACGCTCCACTTTCTGTCACCCGGTGTATTATCCCCCTTCAGCCCATCATTCAAATGTGGAGGAGGGAAGCAGATGAAGACAGGAACCAGAAAAGTAGGCTCGACTTCCGGGAAAAGGGTTGCTTGCGATGAACCGAGATTAGATCATTTATCCATGTAACTTGAGGCACAGAAAAGGGGAGAAGGACGGGGACCTGAGCACAAGGCAACAAGAATCAATTTTGCTACGATTGTGGCATTCTTCTACTAGGCAGAGTTTAAAGCCACGGCCTTACTCACGGAAAGGACGGCAACATTTCTAACACCGGCACGGTCCGTCATCCAGAGAGTCCTTGCAACTAGAGATGACGCAGCTTGAACACTTATCCTATCTGTGACGAGATTTCGCACAATTCACACCAGCTGGATTAACTTAATACGTTATTTGACTGCCATCACGTCAGCGACAATGTCATAGTATGTATATAAGGAAAAGATCAGGCACTGTTATCTCTTGCGGATAAGTACCAACGGTGGTAGATAGGAGAGAATCTTGCCATTTGGGATGTCAAATCCGCAGATGCACCTAATAGCTCGTCGGTAATGAAGAGAATATTATGAAAAAATTACGTGCATTGCCGTCGCCTTATACCTAGAAGTCTAGTTAGTCTTCCTAGATACACCCAGTCGCGTTCGCTCTACACAAGGACAACGAATCATCAATGTGGAAGTGTTGGAAATCTAGACTTAGTATATCTGAAGGTTTAGATTTCTAAGTATGATCATCAAGATCAATTCAATTGATCCGATTGCATACAGTTAAGCTTAGCTGGGCGACATGACTGAAGGTTTAGATTTCTAAGTATGATCATCAAGATCAATTCAATTGATCCGATTGCATACAGTTAAACTTAGCTGGGCGACATGAGGTTCAGTGGTATCTGAAATGCAGTGGCTCGGAAATGCTACCTTGCGATAATTAAGTAGCTGGCTGTTGCTGGATCACTTGGAGTTTGGGATCACTAGAGCCTCAGGGATCTGTATTTAAGGATAGACTTATTTGTACGTGTTAAACCAAGTCAATGGAGTATTACATATTATTAATTCGTATTGAGAAGAGAGTTCGATATCATAGTCAACTATCAATAAATTCTTGTCCGAAATCGTAAACTTGTCCTTCGAGATATTTCCTCGTAGAAATCCTTGACAATTTTTAACAGGAAGTTCTATCGTTTGCGCTTGGTCATGGCTTGTTGCGCAGCAGCTCAGTCAGCCGTAGAATAATTGAAGTGTTGTCGCCCGTCTCGGTGTCACCATCGAGGCGTTGGCCCCAGGGCAACAGCGAAAGAAACGTACACTGGATCTCTGAATGCTCTAGCCCTTTATGAGTCTAGTCCAGATCATCATGCCTCGTTATTTCAGCTCGGCAAGGAGTTCCATGGCTACTATTAATTTAAGGCGCCGCCATGGTCGGAGCATTCCCAATCCATTTCGCCTTCGCTCGTTCAGCTGGATAAGGCACGAAAGTTCCATCGAAACAGACGGCGAGCTGATAGCATGCGGTTGAAATACTTCGCGAACAACTTAAACTGTGGATGGTGGCGTCACTAGATCTAAGCAATACACACAGGAGAAAACTTGAAGTGTTTACTCATTTTTCCCCCTTAATTGGACTAACCTAGGCCTCGATCCAACGAAAGCATATGTAAGTTTATTGGTCTACATGTGATGAAATGTTTGTAGGGTCGTCACGAATATTATCTTTATCCGCTCAATATATCCATATCCTGGACAAAGTCCAGCCAAGGTATCCTCACCCTCGATTCGTGACTAAATATACATATCCCGGGGAGCAGAGAGATCGACCGGGAACTTCAGCTGTAAATTCACTTGCAACCCATCATTTCGGCGAGTAGCTTGAGACTTCCCCGGGTGCTCCGATATGGTGACGAAGCCGTAGATAGCAGTCTTTCATCCATGCAGATCACCTCTTTCAAAAGCTCCAGGACTTTGATCATCTCGTACATCATTCTGTTAGCTCCACCACATGTATCTTTTGAAGGGCGTCTAACTTTGCGCCAAGGAGGGCTCGGTGACGCCGCGTACTCCCTTTGTAAAGGGCCCGAGCAAGAGACTATTGAGTCCCCAAAGCTCAGACAAACGTGTTATAGTCATGATCGGGTCAGGCATGCTGAAAAGGGCCCCTTCAACAGACTACTACCATCAGCACACTATGATATTTTATTAACCTATTTTGCCTATGACTACAATAGGACACCAAGAGCTAGAGCGTAATTTCACTTTACGAAAAGCACCCGCGAAAGCATCGTAATCTTTGTCGCTGGAACAGACGTTGACAAAAAATGGAATTAATTCGGCTCTAACTATATACGATAGAGTGACTATAGCACATGAAATAATCCGACTCGATTCTAATTGATCTAAAAAATATTACTTCCAAATACTATGGTTTCGCCACTGCTGTGCCCAATGAATTAGCCTGCAAGCAGTCTCAGCACGTAAGAGCGCGCGATATTAAGACCAAGATGCTGTGTACGGTCTCTATAGCCACTGTGGCTCTCTGAGCTTTACAGGAATGTGAGAAACTTTCGGCGAAGATCGGACGCATTGAGACTTTCAGGGACCAGGTGTGCCACATCAGGAAAGTTTTGATGGGCTAGAATCTAAACACTGGCCTTCTTGCATGGGAGTTTTGCGAAGACATCAAAGATATGAGGCTAATGAGGCGAGCTAATTGCCGGGGAGAAAGACTTTTTCGACAAGTACCCTTAAAATCGAGGGTTTCTTGGCGACCTAAGAGTTTCATCGATGTCCAAATGAGCCGTTGAACGCGACGATTCTCTAAATCAGCTTGTGAGCTCGCTAGCACAAGTCACTCCGCCAAACTATTTAAGAGATACGAGAGGGAGATGGTCAATGGAAACCTGTGATAATGTCGTTTTTAGGTCAAGCTTCGCGAGCACCTGACTGTGTTTGTAGGAATTACATCCGCTATATTCTCATCGTTCCTCAAACATAGGCAGAATATACGACTGGAAGCTTCGGAGACTCCGGGCTCAATATACATTGCGTGGCCTGATTCTCACCGAGTTACCCGAAGAAACATGACTTTCAGGGCATAAGGGGAAACAGTCAGAGCAGCTGTCACCAAATAGTACCTATAGCTGTAGATCGTCACCTCGAGTTAGATGACCTACTGGCTATGCTGGATAATCTAATCCTCCACGTCAAGCTCGCGCAACTTTGTTATCTAATCCATTCGAGGAAGAAGATTGCTAGCTTGCGCCACATGGCCTTTTTCACCTTCATCTACACGGCGTTCATGTCTTTTTTCGTGGCTGGTCATATATCTTATCTCACGCTTGATGCAATCGTAATTAGGACGAGTACAGCTCACTCCTTTCATCCTTTCGTGTAAAGAGAGGCTTATAAACTACTCTCTATTCCATAAAGTGGAACACAGTCGCTAGCATCGGCTCCTGCACCCTGTCTTCAGCGGTAAATACCTGCCAAATAGCTATCTAGAAATATTTGCTTATCCTAGCCAACCTGAATCATCAAACGACGCAAGTGAGCTTAGTAACATAAAAACAGATCTTGAATGATCTAAAGTCATCATCTCCCTTCTCGCATCAGAGGTACTTTTACGGGATCTAGTGCACAAACTCCTGCCGTTCACTATAGGCGGCCCAGGGGGACTATTCTCAACACCTGTCAGTGGTGTCCCCGACGAACCTCCAGCTCTCACTGTAGAGTCTGCAGAGCCGAGATTGAGTAACAAAGTCCTCACTTCGAAGAGGATTCCCAATCGCTTTCGCGGTCTGTATCGTCTTCATCTCTCAACACATTCCCCTATCACCACTATCATGAAGCTAACCACGATCAGATCAGATGGTAGGGTCGGAGCCCTACTCGTCACCCACCCTTGATCATGGAGGAAAAGCCATCCGATGAGTTTCCGGAGCGTACCCAGCACCCGATACGGAGATGGTGGATTGGATCAAGTCGGCCTCGACTGTTACAAAGAAGGGAGATATAGATGAATATGCGCACTTCATGTGGTCCCGGTGTCTAGGCCTCGCCTGGCTGGGGCTGCAGGTTTTTTGAGACTTTTTCCCGCGCACGCAGTTTCCATTGCTACCATTTTTATTTTTTTTGGGTAGAAGGTTCCGTGGAAAAGGTGGCTGAATTCCACGGGTAAATACTGAGCTGAATGGCTATTCATCAAGGGGAATATATCCATGATCTTTCAAGTAACAAAAGAGGATAGGAGCACTGTACAAGGTGTGGCCTGGGTCAGAGAGGAGCCCAATGTGCTAGATAGTCATAGACTCAAGTAGTACAATAAAACACACACACACTATAGGCGGCCCATGTATAATGCTGGTCTCAGGGTTCGCTTAGTCATAGCCCTGTAAAAATATATTTCCTTTCCAGATGCTCTTGATCCGCATTGTAGTTATATTTGTGTCATCATTACTTTACGAAATCAGAATAAACTTCGTATATTTCGTTCGCTCGATTAAATCACGAGAGTGCAGCTGACACCATAAAAACAAGCAAACGATGGAAGGTGTTGTGGTCCGCCTCCTGGTGGTGTTCTCTGGTATAGTTTGAGTAGCCTGGGCACCTACTCCACTTGGGAAGGAGACATCTCAGACCATATTTCGCGCGAAGAGATGTGAACGGATGACGGAGGCATGTCTGGATAACTCAGGGTTTTTGAGACGTTCCCCTGGGTGGGTATTCACGGATGAGGGTTGACTTGGGGTGAAGAAAAAGCCACTATAACTTCGCAGTGGTACTTGCAATTGAAATCCGAGGCATGAGTGCTCCTCTTGTAAATTGAGTCATCTTTTCTGTACTTTTCTTTGATATTGTGTCATAGCTAGATAGCTGCATACGCAATTAAAATCTGATGCAAAAAAAAAAAAAAGATTAAATCACGACCATATTCCGTGATAGGTACTGGCAATCCGATTTAGTATCTTCTGGATAGACCAATTCTTACAGCATACCATCGGGTCACACATTCGTCTACAAGCAAGTACTGATGCGCCATTGAATCAGCACAAATAAGCCTGCAAAATTTTCCCAATTCTATTTGAGTCGATGTTCACGGCTTAACAAGAGATGGTAACTATATTTATTTTTTGTGATATGAGTGTTTAATGAATCAGCTATATGTTCAATAAATTTTCAGTGGCAATCATGACCTTTACTCGAAATTTATATGGAATAAAATAATATTTTAACTGCGACTGGTGGTTTAAAGGCTTCATCTTCAATGTTTATGGCTTCTATGAGATTTTTGTACATTCTTGCGTAGATTATCTACACAAAAGTCTTTGCTTGTGAGGCAATCTTTTCTTAGTCGAATCACAAGTCTATATAAAGCTATTTGTGGGTGGGAGTGCAGAATTATTTTCTAGCTTATACGATACTAACGCCATTTATGCCCGAGCCAAAGCTTATAAGTCCTAGATAGTCTTTCTGGAGGAAATTTGGGGTAAGAAATACCTAGAGCTCGTCGTGTCCCGATCGTTTATAGTATTTTATAAAAAAATCATTCCTAGACTCATTTACAGTCTAAGTATTTGTCTGCTCATGATAAAACCAAGATATACCAAGTATGCTAGTCTAGAAATTTGCCCAAAGGAGATGAGCAATCACATCGATATGGTGGGCTAATGAGTTTACCCGTTGCATTCTGGAGGTCAGATCTGAGTTTCCAACTCGACCCGATATTTCGTACTCATCACAAGATTTTATCGAAAAATTATCTTTGTTCCATCAACTTCTATTCGGCTGTACTCAACCCAGGTATTTGGGCTAACGAGTTCTAGTTGGAATGACTGAGCATAAATGAATAGAGTTTGTGGTCAAGATGCCTAGAAAATGGCTCCATTACACCCGCTGGTATAATTTTTAGAGCCCCACAAGGCCTTAGGTATTAGGAGGAAGTCATGAGTAGGATATAATTCCTTCCCGAACTGTGTATGTTTATTTTGTTGCTCAATATGAGAAATTTTCAAGAATTTGTCAGATTATTGGCGAATATATCAGTGAGCGGCTTCATTTATTCATTTATATTTTCGCTTGCATGATTCATGGATTCCTCGTCAGCTGGCAACTGCTGGGTAGATGCAATCCAGTTCTCCATAGCGGCTTGGCCAATGGGTTCCTTACCGGCTGTGTCGCGGCGTTTTACAACCAAACAAAGTGCACGACCGTAAACCGAGAAGCCATCGTAGGTAGTTTGCATTATCATCTTTTTTTCATCAGTTTCATCATCCAAAAATAAATCATGGTGTGATTTATTTCGCTTGAGAGGTTGTTCGTAGTTAACTGAGTCAAATGATTGTGAGTCTCGGGTTCGCTTTGTAGTAACGCGAGTTTGATCTTGATCTGTAGTATTTGGTGAAGTGTCCTTTACTACTGTAGGCTCAGCGGGCGGAATGTCGTATAATCGTGACTCCTCATTTTCACCGTCTTCTACCCTTATGATTGTTGGATCCAAATCTATCACTGCTTCTTCCTCTGTCCCCAATAACTTTGTAGAATTCGAGACCATACCTCTAGCGCGCGGGTTTCGGAAACACTTCTTTTTTGTGAGAAGAGAATGGCGAGTACCAGTTTCGGTAAGAAATACGGATACTTCAAAATCATCTTCGCATGTAAGCTACGATTCGAGGAATTAGCCAACCAACTTACCCTGAACTACGACATCTTTTATTCGTTTTTTCTTGCTTCCCTTTCCCAGGTAGCGCTCTCTTTCCTCGCGCAATTTGGGCAAGACTAGAGGGTGTATACTTTCTATGACGCGTGATAAGATATTTTTGCGCGGGTTAAGAAGCCAGCTCTCAGTGAGCGCAGGATTTTCTGGATAAATTCGGCATTCGAGAACAGAGTATTTTGTGATTCTGAGGTATCTCCTTATGAGCGGCATGTGGGTTGCAAGTCTGAAAGTTATTTGGAAGGGTCAAGTCTGTGCAACTTCTGTAGCTTAATTGCAAAAATGTTACGTGAATCCCTTCAACTCAGTCTCTGGTTCTGGATATATTTCGGATATGTGCCTAAAATAAGGTGTATATTATCCGCCATATAAATATAGCAGCGCGCAATTCTATCGAAACAAGTATTTCGAAAAAGACGCGAGGAACACAAGGCTAGGCGATAGTGATATTACTCAAAATGTATCTAATCTCTGATAGACGCAATGTAGTTGCTTACATGTGAGCCATATAGATGAAGAGCGTTGACCTTATCGCGATTTATCACATGACACAGAAGTAAATATAAACAGCTCGGTCATGGCTGCTCGGCGCAGTAGTGAAGCATATTGGCTTACCTCCCAGGTATCATTTATATCAATTCATTGTTGTCATTAAATTATTAGAACCATTTTTATTATTTGGATACCTGTCTTACCTCATTCCAAATACCGGGATAAATGCACCAAGGGCAAAGGGCTGCTCCAAGTGTATGATTGAATGAGGACTTGTGAGGGGCGGTACTGTTTGAAGGAAGCTGCATGGGTGGCCAAGGAAGGGAATACTACTAGATAGCTATCTTAGGCCCGTAGGCAGAGAGGACCTGCATATCCTGTATTGTCATAGACTCAGACAGGACAATAAAATGAATTAACAAGAATGCACTAAGACCCTCCCACGTTTGTCGCGATGATCATGTCAGGCATTGCGCCAGAGAATACGAATTCGTTACACTCCGGCGGCGCCGGCGTAACCGCTCAGAATGCTCTGCATGTATGGTATATCTCAGAAGAATCACATCCGAATCGAAGTCGAAAGCACATACAAGCACGTTTTAAAATCGATGACTTCCCTAAATTTTGAGTCTTACTATTCTCACATGAATACGGTCACTGAACCGTGCTTAAGCTATGTCATCTCAATGATCGATTAAATGGTTACTCCAACCTCAAACACGAGCTAGCCTCATTAACTGGAGAGCAAGACAAAACACCTGCATGCGGTGTCCTCTGCGAACCTGGTGGTGAAATATTCTCCAAGAGTCAAGTTCAGTCATATTTCGCAATATCAAAGAAGTTGGCCCACGAGGCAAAAATTCAAATTACTCCATCAAGTCGTTTTTTCGCTCCCAACGAGTTTGCCGCCTACCTAAGTCTCATCAAGTATACAAGTACGACCTAGTACATCCTTATTCCAATGATCACACCTCTTGTCAACTTTCTCTAGCCTCAGCTGGTCGCCAAATACACGCCCACGTTGATATTTATACCCGACGGATGAAGCAAAGCGTGGCGCACAAATCTGGGAGATAGCTCTTTGGAATGGACGTGAGAGGGATCTGGACAAGTTTATAAGATGATGCAGAAGGGGATACATTCTCGATGGGCGTGAATTCTGGAAATTTGTCAATGGGTTTTACGAATTGTGCTTTGTGAATGGGCTAAAGCTTCAGCTGCGAGTGACACTTTAAACAGCGCCATGGTTGGACGGTGAAGTGATACATCATCTTCGTCGATCTTTGAAGTAAGGTCTAGATAGCTTGGACACATATTCCACTAAGACAGGAGACCGCTGGTTCGGATTCGGAAAAACACATCCACATTTCTCACGGTGCAAGTTTACATGGATGATGAGGGCATGCTTGGAAATTCAAAGGTTTTAAAACATCTCCTTGGTGTGTACTTACGGAGGAGGCCCGACTGTTTGTGGAAGTAAGCATATTTCATAGTGGTATTTGCGAATGAAATCCAGAGTATGAGTGTCTCTCAAGTCACAAGAGTCAAAAGAGTCATGCACTATGTATACATAGCACCGGTCATGTTTGTCTCTTTTTTATTTTAAAGTCCTAGGATATACCTGTTATCCCCTGAGGGTCAAATATCGGGGTTTACAGCTAAGATCAAATCTATGACACGCCCAGCTTGTTCCCACCGCGTGAACCGTTACTCAAATAGTAGCTAGTTAAATTACATGCAGCCATATTAAAAAATAGAAACCATAACAAAACTCCAGGCTCCAAAACTTTGAGCTCCAACTAAATATCAGCACTTGTGGTTAAGAAGCAAAACTTCTCGCCTCGTTCCCCTTCCGATCGAGTCATATTATATGACTAATTTATATGGACCTCGCTGAGAGCAGAGGTCCATCCTGCAGCTGATCACCCATAACATCGGGTTTTCTGTGCAAAATTTCTGAAAGCTTCAAGGCACTTAGCTCCGAGAAGTTCATGTATGAAGTCGTCGTGGGAATTTAGACCTCGGATTCGACGTATTTCGTGAGAATAGAGCCCATAGTGTAAAAATTGGGTTCAACTAGTCTCTTTCCCACACGCGCACTCACTAGTTGCGTCTGAATTGTTGAATCGGCGATGATATACCGTGAAATTGCCGTGGTCCGTACGGGCTGCAATTAGTTCGCGGAGTAGATGCCTTGATAGGGCTAGTTCAGGGGGCTTGTGCCGTTTCATGAGCAGATCTAGCTTTCGACACCGAACAGGGCACGCTTTATCCAACCGATCGCTGAGCAAAGCCTATAGCCGATTATTCATGAGACGACGAAGGTATGCTAACGGGATAGATCCTGGTTGGTTGTCCGGACTGGGCAGTATTCGTAAGCCGAGGCGTGCAGTAGCGTCTGTTTCTTCGTCCCCTTGTATTCCAGAGTGGCCGGGAATCCACTTGACTGTCACGATAGCTGACGCTGTGAGTATGCGAAACTGACGTACCTCTTCGAGGCTGGTTGAAGAGATGTCCGTCTCAAATGCTTTTACAGCATGCTGACTATCCAGAAACACATTCACTCGCCGTATCGTCTCCCCCAGCTGCTGTTGCGCTTCTTTCATTCTCAGTGTCGCCTTAAGAGCCTTCAGCGCTCCTGTGATCTCTACGTCCAAGACCTCTCCTCTGTATCAGATACCATTCTCCTTGTGAATAGTTTTACCATATTTCTTCACAACAAAATCCAAAGCTGAACGTCCGTTTCCCTCTGAAGAGCCGTCTGAGTAAGCGCAAATTTCCGATGCGGGCACGTTGACTATCCAAAGTTTGCTCACTTCTTTTCCTTCTGACTTAGATATCGACCTGGCAAGTTAAAATGGCGGCGGCAAAGGCGTCAAAGCTTCTGCGTCTGGAAGTTGTCGTTAAGCTCATTGTGCACGAGTTCTTTGTCTATCTACATGATCTAATCCTCGTGTTTTCTTCTTATACTTCCGAGTCCCAGCGTTATGGCATATCGCAGCACGAGATCGTAGCGGGTGCCGATCATTGAGGATTTTTATTCTGGCTGAAAACCGTAGTCGGTTTCCCTCTAGAATAATGTTTGCTGGAGAGATTTCTCCTTCCTTGTGCAGGACTACATTAGGAGTAGTCCGCGGAACTGGAAGTGCAGATCAGAGACCCATCATGTTGGCCTTGTCGATCATAGTACAGAGGCTCGCGGTAGCTGGCGTGGCTATTCCTGCTATTGTTGGGTGTTTGAAGCCTGGCCATCAGACTTCCGCTCCAAAAGTCGCGATTGAAACAATACAACTGTTTGCTACTCGTATCAGCGCTCCTAGTGCGGCCCCTCGAAATGAGGAATTGAAGCGTCGCATAAGATGTGCGACTTTCATTGCTTTTCCGGACCACGTAATCATATGATGCTTGAAGTTAAGACGCGGATCAAGGTGAACTCTAAGCCAGCGAACTTGTTCAGCTGGCTCTATGAGAGTGCCGTTTACGCAGACGCCAACAGCTGCCTCGCGATGCCGTGATGGAAATTGTACTACCTCTGAAATTTCTGTGTCGAATTGGACGGCATCCTTCTGCGCCCAATCCAGTGGGTGATCGACTTCCTTCTGAGCAGCGGTATTAGACTCAGCAGTGGTGCGGCCAAATCCAAGAGTGCAAATGTTGTCAGCGTAACTAAATCTTGGATCAGTCGTACCGCTGCGCATTAATTCTGCCATGTAGAGCAGGAAGAGAAGTGGAGAGATCAACGAGCCCTGCGGGACTCTATAGACTAGTTTTCGCTCTATTGTGACTCCTTCCGAGTGTCGTATTTGGACTATTCGTTTTGCAAGGAACGACGTTGTCCACTTTAAAACTGAGTCTGGACATTCTTGTTCTTGTATTATCCTTACTAGGCGGTTATAAAGAACTGCATCGAACGCACTTTGTACATCTAAGGTGACTAAAGTAGCCGCCCATCCTTAAGTGCGCGCCTCCTCGACATCATGCACCACGCAGGAGACTAAGTCTGTTGCTGAACGTCTCGAGAGCGCGCTGAATTGTTGCCGACTAACCACATCACAAGTTACTGCTAGGTGAGCCATCCGTTTTGCCAGAAGACTTTCTAGCCCTTTACCAATGCAAGAAAGAAGGGCGATTGGTCTCCATCCTTTGTCTGTTGTTGGGCCCCTTTTAGGCTTCTGTACGAGAACCACTTCGGCAAATTTGAAACAGGTCGGGTGCGTACCAAGTTGTATACAAGCTCTAAAGAGTCGAAATATGCATGGTCCAACTGTCTTCCAGCAGGCCACTTGTAGCTGTCCGGAAACTCCGTCTGCTCTTGTGGCCGTGTCTCAAGGATGAGGGTTTGACTGTGTTCTACGGGGTGCGTTGTAAAGCCTAGTGAAGATCTAGGTGGTGAATGAAGATCATAAATGGGTCAAAGTGGTGACAGGTCTTATCTAGGAAGAGATGAATGGGCAACTAGTTGCAGTAGGTGTTACACGTGGGTCTTGCTGATGAAGAACTGGGCAATGGATATATGGTCTTCCCGAAGAAGTGACGGGTAAACAAATGTATTGTAAAGGATAAATAAAGAAGACGTTGCGTGAGGAGTAAACCTCTCTCACGCTGAACTATTATATACAAGAGTAGAAGTATTTGCCAGCCGGAATTAATCGTAATCAATTCTTGCCAATATCTCCGCATTAATGGCTGTGTTCTTGTCCTTCTCTTCATGACTCTCTTGT